GGAGCAAGTTTTGGGGAAGAGGATGATAATGAGTTCTATATTAGGCATGTTAAATTAAGATTCCAATGAATAGTGGCTGGCATGTGGAGTCCATGGAAGGAAGTAATATCATCATTATCACAGAACATAAATACGAAGATAATAATCATTGTTGTTCAGTCATTTCTTAGTAGCGTCTGACTCTTGGTGATGCCATTTGCCAATATCTTGGCAAAGATATTGGAGTGGTTTGCCATTTCCTTCTCCAGCTCATTTTACAGATGAGGAAACTGAGGCAAACAAGGTTGTGACTTGCCCAGGGTCACATGGCTGGTAAGAGTCTGAGGCTGGATTTGAACTCATGAAGATGAGTCTTCCTGATTCCAAGCCCAGTGCTCTATCCTAGCCTCCCTAATAATAATAATACTTTGATTTAGAAATAATAATTTACAAATAATACTTTGATTCGTATAAAGCATTAAGGTTTTCAAAATGCTTTGCATTTCACTTAACATGAAATGAAGCTGGAAAGATATGGAAACTCCAGGTTGTAGTGATTATAGTCCTGTCTATGAAATTTGAAGGAGGTTCAGAGCCAGGTTTTAAACATAGTGGTTCTTCAGTCCCATGTCCCAGATTATGAAGTCAAACCAGGTCAGAGTCCAGCTTTTGGCCACTCATCCTGGGTCTACAGTGAGGCAGAGGCTCCAAAACTCCAAACTTCTTAATGGTTGGCCCTGACCCCAACAGTCCAGAGCCCTAAGACTCTAAAATAGAAGATGAAGCCCTGTTAGTCCAATAGCATCCTGCCCTCTGGCGGCATCCCGCCTAGCAGCTGGTGAGCAGGGCCAGGGGAAGAGTTTGAGTCTAAAAAATGAAGGAGTCAGTGTTTTGATTCTTTATTTCTTTACTCTACATGTTTGTTATAAGGAAGGGTTGTATTTTATGGTGGAAATGGGGTGAGGGGAGAGGAAGAGAGTGCGGAAAAAAAAAGAATATTAAAATAAGTTTGTTTTTTTAAAGGGGGATGGGAGGATAGAGGGAAGCAAAGAGCAGAGAAACCAAGAGCATTGGAAGGTAACTCCCTACTCTGCCTGAACCTCACCCAGACTACGTGGGGGACGTCACTAACGTTTATGGATAGTCAGGAAATGAGCTTAATAGAAGTTAAGCCATATGAACTAAGCCTGAGGTTAATACTTCAATGAATCTATGAGCTCACTGACAGAAATATTGCTAATATCAAATATGATATTGCCTATTACCTGCCATTCTTCTTAATAATCCTAGTAATGTCAGAATTCTAGTAATGTCCTTGCATTCCTACTCTTAAGATATTTACTCTGGATTAGGTTGAGCTGAACCACACCCTAAATCCCCACACCAGGATTTTGCCTTGTAAAGGAACCTAGTTTGAGCTGAATCTCAGCTTTATCCTGCTTTATCCTGTTCCTTGAAATTTGTGGTGAATTAGATTACAAAGGATAAATTAACCAGAATGAGTGGGTTTCCCCTGCTAGGACTTCCAAAGTCAGCAGGCATCTCATGACCAGGACATGATTATCTAATGTGACCCGTCCCCATCCCCCCTGCTTTTCTCCTAAAAGTATGAGAACCTTTTCCTGTGAGTCTGCTGGTGCGACATTCCCTAGGGTGGCTGGTGTGCTACCCTGTTATCTTGCTCCTCAGTTATTCCTCCACTTATAAAGTTTGATTTATGACATCACTAAGGTGAGTACTTCCTTCACTGATGCAAATCTCAGCTCATCCCTACCTCCTCATCCAGTGTTATTCATATCCTTTCATAAATCCTGGAGATAATCTACCCAACGTATTCAAAGGATTTCTCTATTGACATTCCATGTTTACTTCTCCAGTTGAGAAAAGATCAAAAGATATAAACAGGCAGTTTTCAAAACAAGAAACTCAAGTTACTAATAGCCTCATGAAAAATGTTCCAAATCACTAATAATTAGAAAAATGCAAATTAAAATGCCTCTGAGGTTGTGCCTCACACCCATCAGATTGGCAAAGCTGACAAAAGGGGAAAATAACAAATATTGGAGGGGTTTTGGGAAAAGTTTTATTGGTATCCTGTTAGTGGAGCTGTGAATTAATCTAGCAGTGCCAGCATTCTGAAAAACAAGTTGGAAATAACTATGCTCCCAGAATTACTAATTTATGCATACTGTGACCCAGAAACACCACTATTAGGTCCATACCCCCATGGAGTTGAAAGAAAGAAGAAAAAGATTGATATACACAAAAATGTTTATAGCATCTCTTTCTGTGGTAGCAAAGAACTGGAAACCGGGGAATGGCTAAATAAATTATGGTATATGAATGCAATGGAAAACTGTTGTGCAAAAAAAAATTACAAAAAGGACAGTTTCAAAGAAATCTGGAAAGACCTGTATGAACTGATGCACAGTGAAGTAAGTAGAATTAGAAGACCAGTGTATACAATAATTAAAAAACAATAAAAAGAAAAGCAACTTTAAAAGACTTCAGAACTCATGGTTTAATGACAAACCAAACCAAGATTCTAGAGGACTTGTTGTTATTGTTTGTTTGTCCTTCACTCTCAAAGAGGACCATGACATCAGGTTGGTGATGCCATGACTACAAGTGAATTGGATTTAAGTGAGGGAGAGCTGTGCAAAGTTACCAGCCTCAGTTTCTTCTCCAGAGCCATCTGGGTCCAGTGGCCAGATATAGATCAGGACAACTAGAGATGACCCAGGATGCAGTGGGGGACCTTGGCCTTTTCAAGCTAAGGTCTTTAACAGGTCTCAGTTTGACTGAGGCAACACCTATTTAGTTTGACGACTAAACAATAAAGTATGCTACCCACCATCTGACAGAGAGATGATGGAAGCAAGATGCAGAATTAGACATATATTTTTTGACATGGCTAATTCACAAATTTGGTTTGATTTTGTTTTGTTTTGTTTTTTAGCTATGAATATTTGTTACAAGGGGTTTGGGTTTCCCTTTTTTTTCTTTTCTTTTCAATGCTTGGGGAGACAGTAAAAACATAAAAAAAAAAATTGGAAATAAAATAATTCCTAAAAAAATTTCCTTGTTACCAGCAGTTGGTGTCCTAACTCATATTTTCCCTACAGGACCAACTGCGCTTCATTTCTGATGACATATCTTATACCTAAATGAAATCATGCAGGAAATATCTCATTGGCAAATACTTGGTAATATGTTATAGACTCCTTATTCTTACCATGCACCTCCTCATTGTGTTTTGGGTCATATAGAAGTCTGATTCTTTGGACTTTGATTCTTCTTTGGAAATAATGGAGAATGACATAATAATAATGGAAAAATTTGGAAATTATTGGAGAATCCTGGATATTAATGTGATAATAATAATAAATGATTTTTTTTGCTGCTTTAAGGCCTACAAAGTATTTTACATACATGGTTGATTCTCACAACAACTTTGTGAGTTAAGGGCTACAGATATTACTACTCTAAATTTACAGAAAATGAAACTGAGGCTCAAAAGTTTAAGTGTCTTACTGCTAGTAGGAGGCAGGGTTCTAACCCAATCTCTCCTGAAGCTAAGTCCAACTCTCTTTCCACTATAATTCAATTCAATAAGCATTTATTGGCACCTATTAAATGCCAGGTACTGTGATAGACAGATTCAAAGGCAAAAATCACAACAGTCCTTACCCTCAAGGAGCCTACATTCTTGTAGGCAAAATAACTTGTGTCCAGAGTAGTGCAAGTGTGTGTATATTTATATGTGTGTATATAAATATGTGTATATACACACACACATATAGACACATACAAAATTGAAAAAAATGATTAGGGGAGGGAGGGTGCTAGCAGCAGCTAAGGAAATATAGATAAGTAAATATCTCATGTAGATGGTGACTTTTGAACTGAGTAGTATGAAACTAGAGATTCTAAGAGACAGAGGTGAGAAGGGAGTGCATTACAGGCACGGGGACTGGCCAGTGCAAAAACCTAGTTACTGGAAATGGATTAATATGCATGAGAAGCAATGAGGCCAGTTTGACTGAAAGGAGTAGTATCTAATAAGGATGGAAAGGTAGAGTGGGGTCCAGTAGAAGAAATGTCAAAGAGGAGTTTGTTTTTAACTCAGAAGGTAATATGGACCCCCTTGAGTTTATGGAGGAGAAAAGTGGTATGATCAGACTTCTGTTTAGGAAAATCACTTTGATAGCTGTATGAATTGGAATGAAGAGAGACTTGAGACAGGGAAGTTAATTAGGAGGCTGTAATCCAGATAATGGATAGCTAGGTGGCAAAGTGGATAGAGTGTTCGGCATGGAATCAGGAAGACTCATCTCCATGAGTTCAAATCTAGCCTCAGACACTTACTAGCTTTGTGAGCCTGGGCAACTGAGGCCCTGTCTGCCTCAGTTTCCTCACTTGTAAAATGAGCTGGAAAAGGAAATGGCAAATCACTCCAACTTCTTCACAAAGGAAACTCCAAATGGGGTCACAAGGAGTCAGACATACTGAAAAACAACAACCCAGGCAATAGGCGATAAGGTGGTGGAGAAAATGGAACAAATGTGAGAGATTTTGTGGAGGAAAAAACGACAAGATTTGTTAATGATTCTATGTAATTGTGAATACCTGTGAGGATTCAAGAAAGACACTAAAGATATAAATGTAGACAACTAGAAGGGTGGTGGTATCCTTGAAGGAAATAGGAAAATTTGGAAGAGGAGTGAGCTTTGGGAGAAAGATAATAAGCTCTCTCCCTGGGCCAGGACATCCACTTTCGGAGACTTCTCCAGGCCATGTAATGGAGCGTCTTCGGTCGCCGTCTACGAGAAAGCAAGAGGTCCCCTGAGTTACATCATGCGGAAAGAGGAGGGGCCTGTCAGAGGGTGGGTCCAGGCAGAGGAGCCGGAGCTGGAGCCGGCTGTCCAATGGGAAAGATGCGAGGCTGGGAGCGATGGGGACGCCCCTGCCAGAGGGGCGCTGCTGGAGGTGGCGGGGTCTGGGTGACAGCCAGGTAACGGGGTGGAAGGGTTCCCGCTGTCCCTCCCAGGTTTCGTCCCCAGCCCCGCCTTCCCCGTCTCCTTCTTAAGCAGCTCCCGCCACTGCTGGCCACCGTCAGTCTCCTCCCCAGTGCCCTTCGCCCCCTCCATCTCTGCTCCCTGGCTCGGGCCCCCAGCCCCTCAGCAGCCCCGGCTTCGTGTTCTGCGTGCGCTCCGGTCAGGTCCCATGGCCTCTCTGTATCGCCCCTGTCTGCGGTGAGTGAAGCGTAGCCCGGCGCCGCTACCTCCTCCCCACCCCATCCCCGCCCCGGCCTCTCTCTCGCACTTGAGCCTCTGCCCTGCAACACCCTCCCCCCCTCCGCCACACACACACCCCTTGTTTTCTGGACATCTCATTCCGCCCTTGAGGTCCCTCCCCACCCCCCATCCTTTACCCCGAGTTGTTTGTGCATTAGTGTCCCGGGGCCTCCATGCCAACTTGTTCTTCTCTCTACCCTTTGGTCAGTCTGTCTGCCTCTTGCTGGCCACCACGTCCCATTCAATGAACTTCCTCTTCCTTCCTTCCCCTGCCTGACATATTGGCTTTTTCCTCCCTCGCTGGGGAGCTTTGCTCTAACTTCCTTCCCTTTCCTCCCCACGCTCTTCACGTGTTTGCTTCTGCTCTTCTCACCTACTCAGGTTTAACTCTTTTAGAAGCTTGGAAGTTCCCTGGGCAAGTTGTGAGGGACAGCAAGGGGGATGGATTTACAGTGGGAGTCCTGGGGGGTGGAGGGAAGATAGTAAGAAAGAACCCATGTGGAGGTGAGGAACAGAGCTTCTTTGAAGGAGGTAAGAGGTAAACATCCATTCCCCCAGCTTCCCTAGGAACAGAGCCTGGCAAGGAGCCCAGCACAACCGTAGGGACCTCTGGGAGCAGGGTAAAGAAAGCAAGGGTGAAGTGGAGGAGGGGAGGAAGGACCATTGCATTTCTATGGCCTGCTTCCTCCCCTTCCTAGTCCTAGGCCCTTAGCCCAAGTACATCTCTTCTGGTTCATTTACTCTCTCTCTCTCTCTCTCTCTCTCCCTCTCTCCCCCTCCCCCCACCCCCCATCTCTCTCCAGCTGCCAGTACCCTTCTCTCTACCAGCCTGTCCCTGGTCCCCTATCTGGTCACAACCTATTCTGATCCCCTATCTCTGCACAGACTGCCCCAGCCAGCCCTTGTGAGTGAAGAACAAAGTCTTCTTAAGGAAGTGGGGGAGGGGGGGGGGGCGCCTTCATCATAAACCTTCTAAGATAGGCCACAATCCACAAGATAGTTATAAATTCATTTATTTCAATTCAGTTTATTTCAACAGTATTTAGGATAACTCCTAGACTTCTTCCCAGAAAGAAAGATACCTTCCAAAGAGAGCAGAAGTTGAGGCTATAGGGTCCCTCCCTACCTTATCCCTAGGCATCTCTGTTTGATCCAGTTTTAGCAGCACTGGACAACTTACCTCCTCACCCCAGCCTGGTCTTACCTCTGGGGGAGGGGGACCAGGAGGACAGGTCTGCAATCTATTTATCAGCTGTTTTCAAAACGGTCACTATAATTTCCAGATATCATTTCCAGAAGCCCTCTAAAGTGGTGCCTCTCCCAGACAGATAGAGGGGAGGAAGCTGATTCACATGAGCCAGTTATGTGTGTTTGGAGGTTCTGGTGGGTGACTCCCTTCTAGGTCTGGGGGAGGAGGGCAGCTCTATTCTCTTGGCCTTTGTTATCTCTGGGTTGCCCTACCCTGGTTTCAGGCCAATCAGAGTAACCCCTTCTTTCCTTTTCCCCCAACCCCCACCCCATCCCCCAGAATCTGGAAGGGCAGAGTCAGGGCTAGAGAGGTGTGGGTCAACACAGGGCTGAGACACCAACTCTCATACCAGTCTGCCTTGTAAATAGTTCTTTCAAGTCTGCCAGATGGCAGAACTTCTTTCCCCCTTGTTGAAGCTAGTAGCAGTGACTGGAATGGCCAATGCTTGTCAGCAGTATTTTGTTGAGGTGCTGAGAGTCATTTTAGAAACACTAGAGAATTCTGTCCCTACTAGCAAAAGTTACATACAATTTCGTTTTGAAGGCAGAATACAGGTGCATGAAAAAATATAACATTTATGAAGAAATACAGTAATGTTAGGTAAATTACCAACATAAGGATGGCATCTTAAGTACCATTCTGGCTAGTGACATAAAATTGTCAAGCAGCCTGGATCAAATTTATAGCCTAGTGGTATGCTAGAAAAGGCAGTTAGGGTGGAGTAGTGGATAGAGAGCTGGACCTGGAGTTAGGAAGTGTTGTTGTTGATGAATCATTTCGGTTGTATCCAACTCACTGTAACCCCATTTGGGGTTTTCTTGGCAAAGATACTTCTCTAGCTCATTTTACAGCGAGGAAACTGAGGCAAACTGAGGGTCAAGTGATCTTGCCCAGGGTCACACAGCTAGTATTTATCTATCACTGACCAGACATCACTCATTCTTTCAACAAATATGTATTAAACACATGCTATTACATTCAAGGCACTATATACAGATAAAAGTTACAGTCTCCTTCCTCATTGTGCTGGAGTGATAGGGTACATTCACAGATAAGCATCAGGTAGGGTGTGATGGAGAAAGGAGGAGATCCAGAACAAGTGACCTAGGAAAAGGTGAGGAGGGAGACACCCCTTTCATCTGGGGACTTTGAAGGAAAAGGACTCTGAAAGGTAAAGACATAAGAAGTCCATTCCCAATGTGTGGGACTGTTGAGGTTTAGGGGTTTGGGAATGCTGGGACCCTGAAATAGTGACATGTGGGATCTGCCTGAATGAATTCGACCCAAGCCTTTTTTCAGCCAAAGACGAGGTTTATTAAAGATTAGCCATATTGGCCAGACTCTGAATCTGAACATTTGTGACATCTCAGCCTTTGGCTAGATTTTAGGAATCTGAGCGCCTTAATGGAGACAAGATGGATCTTATACACAGAAATATTGTGGGAGGGATCTAGGAGTGGCCAAGTAGGCTGGGGTGACTGGGAGGTAGAATGGGACCTAGATAAAGATCGAGGGTGGAAAGTAGCCTAGGGCCATGAGGAGGTAATAAACAATGAAGGGCTGGGCTAGGTTAAGGGTAACAGAATTCAGAAATTGGGCACAGGCAAAATGATTGGCTAGCTGAATGGATTATAGCCTCAGGTGAAACTAGACACTTCCTTGTTCTAATGGGAGAATTTAAGGAGGGAGTTTCCAAAGCCTTTGCCCCATCATTCCCCCCTCAAACAAATGGGACCCAAATTATTTTGGGGTAAAGGACAAAGGTCTTGGCTTGGGCCTGTACCCTGTCAGGACCACCTGGGCAAAAGTCCAGGGGGAAGTGCAGAAATGTCATCTGGAGATGGGGGGGTGGGGCAATTGCAGATAACAGCTAGTATACCTGCCGTGGCTTCAACATGGAGAGTGTGATGGAGAGCGATGTGAAATAAGGCTAGAAACAGGTTGGAATCTTTTAGGGGAGACCTGAATGCTAGTTTAAGGAGTTTATTTTTTCTAATGTAGGTGCCAGGAAGACAAGTGTCTGACACAAACTGGTTGTGTGGCTCTGGGCTAGTGACTTAACCCTCTCAGTGTCTCATCTCTGGGACTATATATAAATTAGAGAGAAGTTACAGACCTTCATGGGTAAAGACAGTTCTTCACCCAGGAATTCCCTATACCAGTGAAATTGCCAGTCCAGGCCCAAGCCCAGGCAAGAGGGAAGTTCCAGAGGTTTTGGAGTAGGGAGGGGAGTGATAGGATCAAGGGTGGAAGTAGTTGGGGGCTATCAGGTAACTGACAGTGGAAGGCTAGGCTAGGTTAAGGGTAATAGACAATTTGGTGATAATGAAAAGCCAGTAGATAGGATTATAGCCTCAGGCTACCACTAGAGACTTCTTGATCATGTGGGAAAGGTGATGTGGACTCAAGGAGAGTCTAAGGGTTTTCCAGGGTCAGACAAATGAAACCCAAATTCTTTTTCTGGGGTAAGGGACAAAGATCTTGGCTTGGGCCTGCACCCCATCACCCCCACATCTCCTACCACAGTGTGCATCACCCTGGTCATCACTATCCTTCCCCTCTCTCCTAGGCTGGGTTGGCATGGTTTGAACCCTTGGGGTTATGCCCCAAATCGAGGCAACCATGCATTTCGGATAATCAGTGGAGATTTGGGTCACCTTCCAGCTAAGGTGAGGGACTTTGTGGAACGAAGTGCCCGCCTGTGCCAACCAGAAGGCATCCACATCTGTGATGGCAGTGAGGCCGAGAATGATGCCATACTAGCCCTGCTGGAACGTGAAGGCCTTGTCCGAAAGCTCTCCAAGTATGACAACTGGTGAGTCTGATGGTAAAGGACAAACCAAAGGCTAGACATCTGAGGTGCTGAGACAAGCCAATCTGGGTACATAAAGGCAAAGACTAACCATAGGTTTTTCTTAGAAGACCAACCTTTCTTAGCTGAACCAGCTCAATGAGAACTAGCAGATGGGGAAGCCTGGGAGGAAAGAATCATGGGCTGGAGGAATATCTTCATTTTTATATTTAAATGAAAAACATGCAGATCAACATCTTTGAGGTTTTTTTTGTTTGTTTGTTTTTTCCCTTAGGCAACTGGGGTTAAGTGACTTGCCCAGGGTTACACAGCTAGTAAGTGTCAAGTGTTTGGTCTGAGGCCAACTTTGAACTCAGATTGTCCTGATGTCCACTGCACCACCTAGCTGCCCTAACATCTTTGAGTTTTAAGATTATCAACTTGGGCACTTTTTGCTTAGGGCAGAGGCAACCACAGTACTGGGAATATGGAAAACTAAACCAAAGACTGTAGATAATCTAAATTGGAACAGGGGTTCTTAACCTGGGTTCTATGAACCTCAGATTTCAGGGGGGTTGGTGAACTTGGATGGGGAAGATTTACATCTCCATTTCAATAAAATTGATTTCTTTTGTAATCCTATATATTTTATGCATTTGAAAAGATTGTACTGAGAAAGGGTCCATAGATTTCACCAGATTGCCAGAGGGGGTTCTAAGACACAGAAGAAGGTTAAGGACCCTAGTCTAGAGTGATTAAGAGAAGTGATATGAGAAGAGGGAAAACAGTCTAGGGATAGAACTGATATGCTATAGACCCTGAATAAATAGGAGAAAGAGGGAGGGGATGCTTTGGGATGACCTGATTCCGAGGACCTGACTGACCACTCTTTACCTGGTACTCCCTTCCCAGCTGGCTGGCTCGAACTGATCCCAAAGATGTGGCCCGAGTAGAAAGCAAGACAGTGATTGTGACAGAGTCTCAGAGGGACACAGTGCCCATCCCAGCTGATGGAGCCCGTGGACAACTGGGCAACTGGATGTCACCAGCCCAGTTTCAGAAAGCTCTGGATGAGAGGTTTCCTGGATGCATGCAGGGTAACTCTGGGCAAGAGACAGTCATGAATGAGGAGATGGGGAAGGTTGAAGCCAGGATTTCTGACCCAGCTTTCTTTCCCCAGGCCGCACCATGTATGTACTTCCGTTCAGCATGGGCCCTGTGGGGTCCCCCCTATCCCGTGTGGGTATTCAACTCACTGATTCCCCCTATGTGGTAGCCAGCATGCGAATCATGACCCGACTTGGGAAGCCTGTGCTTCAGGCCTTAGGGGACAACGACTTCGTCAAATGTCTGCACTCTGTGGGCCAACCTTTGCCCCTGGAAGGTGAGAATCGAGACCTAGAAATCTGCACACTCACACACACCCACCACTCACCCCACCCCCACCCCCCACCATGAAAGAAGAAAGACCCTAAGATGCTATCTGTTGAAAGAGGAAACTGAAATTCTGTCCCAAAGTGGAGAGATTATCCCCATCCCCAGTTTTCTGAGAATCTCCCCCTTGAGTACCTCTTCTGCCCAAGAGGAGAGAATGCCCCTTAAGGACGTCACCTATGCCCAAACCCCTTGAAGCTTTTATATCCTTGCCAGATGCCCCCATAAACCATTGTCCCCAGGGGAGCTGGTGAACCAGTGGCCGTGCAACCCTGAGAAAACCCTGATTGGTCATGTGCCTGACCAGCGAGAGATCATCTCCTTTGGCAGCGGCTATGGTGGCAATTCCCTGCTGGGCAAGAAGTGCTTCGCGCTTCGAATCGCTTCCCGACTCGCCAGAGATGAGGGCTGGCTAGCAGAGCATATGCTGGTGAGGGAGGGTCTAGGGGTGAAGAGGGATGGCTACTAAGGATGGGGCAAAAGAAAGCCACCCCCCCCACCCCCTTCTCATTGATTATACTGCCTTGTTGATGGGCTGCCTGGGCTCCTGGCTGCTCCCAGACCAGGTTTCCCTGCCCACCCAGAATCCAGGTGGCAAGGAGGGGCAGATATTTAATGAACAAACTCTCTTCTTCCTTGTTAACTCCTAAGCAACCACTGCCTCTCAGTTCTACAAAATTCTAGGCACAGACCCCGTTCTTGCTTCTGCAGAACTTCTATAACATAAGTAGTGTGCCTATGAATGTTTCCCCTGTTCCCCTCAGATCCTGGGCATCACAAACCCTGCTGGGAAGAAACGATACGTATCGGCTGCCTTCCCTAGTGCCTGTGGCAAGACTAACCTTGCCATGATGCAGCCCACACTGCCTGGCTGGAAAGTGGAATGTGTAGGTGATGACATTGCCTGGATGAAGTTTGACAGTGATGGTGAGAAGCCTTGCACACACACACTTCTCCATTCATCAAGTTAGCCATCTCTTATCCATTCTGGAAATAGGACAGCCTTTCCTTCTGGCACTGTTAGGGATCACCCCTGCCCTACATACAGCACGATGCCCACATTGCTCAGGAGGTTCAAGAGCCCTCCCTCCTGCAGTTATTATGTTTGGCTTTGGGTCAAGGAGGGAGGCAGGGCATAGAGCTCTGAGCTTCCTTCCCTTGTCTCATCTCCCAACTTTTTTCTCTCCACCCTTCTCTCTTTCTACCTACTCTCCTCACTCCCTTCTCCCCCAGGCCGCCTTCGAGCTATCAACCCTGAAAATGGCTTTTTTGGTGTGGCACCTGGAACTTCTGCAACAACAAATCCCAATGCTATGGCCACAATCCAAAGCAATACACTCTTCACCAATGTGGCTGAGACTAGTGATGGTGGCGTATACTGGGAAGGCATTGACCAGACCCTCCCACCTGGTGTCACTGTCACTTCCTGGTTGGGCAAGGCCTGGAAACCAGGTAAGTGAAGAGGACCAAGTCAAAGGGCAGAGGTTCAGAGTATGGTCTCAGTGAATGGAGGGGAATGTTTCTCTGACCTACCTCAACCCCTACTTTGTTGTTGTTCAGTCGTTTCAGTTATGTTCAACTCTCAATGACCCCATTTGGCATTTTCTTGGCAAAGATACTGGAGTGGTTTGTCATTTCCTCCTCCAACTCATTTTACAGATGAGGAAACTGAGGCAAACAGGGTTAAGTGACTTGCCCAGGGTCACACAGCTAGTAAGTGTCTGAGGCTGGATTTGAACTCTTGAAGATGAGTCTTCCTGACTCCAGGTCTGACACTCTATCTACTGTACCACCTAGCTGCCCTAAACCCCATTAGGTATGTAGACTTCCAGCCTCCTCCAATACCATAGTATTACAAAAGCCTTTTCCTCTAGAACTCCTAGATTCTGACCCTCCCCAACAGTTCCTGCAACCCAGCAAGAACTTTTTCTTATTCCTTGAGGTCTACTTGTGGGAGGAGGGAACATTCATCATGACAGTTGGCCCTCAGCCACCCTTTCTGCGGCCTAACCCTGGCATCATCCTTCATTGTATAACTACTTTTTTAAGCTCACTTCTCTTAACCTTCCCTCACCTTTTTCCTCAGGCTAAGTAATCTCATGTCCCTTAGTATTTGCCCATTAACCAGTTTTTCAACCCTTTCATCATCTTTGGGTCCTTCTTCTGACCCCTTTCCTTAGCTTTCTCTGTCCCTCTGGAGTACAGAACTCGTGTGTGGGTCAGAGCAGGGAGGAACATAATGGAAGGATGGTCTCCCTGTGGTTCCTACAGCCTGTATTCATACTTTCAGCGTCCATTATCACAGTCACCCTCCTCTATATAATCACCCTTCATCTTCTCAAACACCATTATTAAGCTTCATACCACACTCCCAAACCTTCATATTCAGTGGAGGAAACCCAGAAAATTAAATCTTTTCCCCTAGCGCAGTTTCCCAAACCTTTCATCATATTTGGATCCAGTAGTATAACTAAGGAATCTTATGACTAATGCTAGTTCCCAGATATATACTCTATAGCAGGATATGGAGGGAGGAGTGGATGGGAGAGGGTAGAACAGTGAATGACATTGCTCCCTGAGTGAGCAGTCAAAATCAGAGGAGATAATGTTGGCCAGATGTCTCCCAGCCCAGAAATCTGAACTGTAACTCCCAGGTTAGAAGGAACAGTGTTCTATACTCATTAAAGATTTAGGAGGTTTCCCCTTGGAGCATCTCTCTACTTCTAGTCCCAACTCATTTTTCTGAGGTGTGCGTAAGTGCTATGGTACTATCTGTATATTGTTGATTCTATTCAACAAGCTAAGCTAAGAACTGACCCTCATACTCCAGTCAGGGTCTGAGCAGAGACCGTCAAAAGAATCTCCTAATATCACACCAGGGATAAACTTCTACTTACTCTAACCCAAGTAATTTACAAGGGAGGGCTGTCACATCACAAGCCCCAGATCCTTGCTGGATTCCAGGTACTATCCCATTTCTCTATCTGCAAACAGTAAGCCCTAGCACCACAGAAGAAAGAGCATTCTCTTCTTGGGGAGTGAGTTGGGGAAGGAGCCCATTACCCTGTTCTGAGTTGCAGAAAGACTACCCAAAGAGTTGTGGACAAATAGCAGGGCACATATAGAGTTGGGTTCAAAGTAAAAGTGTTTGTATTGGTGTCAGGTGACAAGGAGCCCTGTGCACATCCCAACTCACGATTCTGTGCCCCGGCCCGCCAGTGCCCCATCATGGACCCTGCGTGGGAGGCCCCTGAGGGTGTGCCCATTGATGCCATCATCTTTGGAGGACGACGACCCAAAGGTATAGTCTATGCAGGCTCAGCATATTGAGAATCTGCCTTCTGGCTCAGTGATCTCATTCTACACTGGGAACCTTTCCCCTCCCTGTATACAGAGGTTGAGCTCCTTCAGCCCAGATTCTCAACTGAAGGAGCCCTTTTTCAGAGTTCCCATTTCTTCTACCTCAGAGATATCAGATAGAGACTGAGAGGAAGACAGAGGGTCCATGTTGATCCATAGGGCACTGGAAGGAACATGATAGGCAGAGGGGATCACTTGAGGGCTGGGAAAAGTGCTGTTTATAATCCTGTTTAATTGGCTTCCCAGGAGTACCCCTAGTATATGAAGCCTTCAATTGGCGCCATGGCGTCTTTGTGGGCAGCGCCATGCGCTCTGAGTCCACTGCTGCAGCTGAACACAAAGGTGAGTCCTACTGCCCATCACTAATGCCACATCCCCCTTCCTGGCCTTGCATCCTTAGGCAGACCTCAATCACAGACCATTCCTTAGACCTCCTCAAGCCCCTCCTTATCATCTTACCCTATCTACCTTCTTCACATCAACCGCAAGGACCCCATGGGAAAGCTGTCACCATCCAGCTCCTTCATCATGCACTGAGGGAATACAAATATCCCATCTATTACATAGCTCCCCTAATCCTGGCTCACAGGTACCCCCTTCTCCTTCCAAGCAAGGAAGATAACCTATCACCCTATTCCATTTTCCCAGGGAAGACTATTATGCACGATCCATTTGCCATGCGGCCCTTTTTTGGCTACAACTTTGGGCGTTATTTGGAGCACTGGTTGAGCATGGAGGGGCGACAGGGAGTCCAACTTCCCCGGATCTTCCACGTCAACTGGTTCCGGCGTGATGCAGCAGGCCGATTCCTATGGCCAGGCTTTGGGGAGAATTCTCGTGTGCTAGACTGGATCTGCCGAAGGCTGGAGGGTGAGGACAGTGCCCAAAAGACACCAGTGGGGCTAGTGCCAAAGGAAGGGGCACTGAATCTGAGTGGCTTGGGGTCTGTGGACTTCTCTGAGCTGTTCTCATTGCCTAAAGAGTTCTGGGAGCAGGAGGTCCATGAAGTACAAAGCTACCTGAGGGAGCAGGTTAACCAGGACCTGCCCCGGGAGGTATTGGCTGAATTAGAGGCACTAGAGGGGAGAATACAAAAAATGTAATCTGGGACCACAGGGGCACAGAGTAAGAAAGGTTGTACTAGCTACCTCATTTCAAGAGGGGAGCTACAGAGAGAGAGTTGCAAAAAGTAAGAGCAACTTTGGCTTGACTAACAACTTTTATAGAGGCCACAAACCGGGATGTGGTTGTTAGATACACTGTCTAAGTTGTTGTTTCAACACTAATTATCATTTATTTTGCATAAAATTTGCATAGTTTTTAACTATCAATGCACATAGATATTATTCACTATTTTCAACATTCCTCTACCAGTTCTGTGATTCTCTTCCCCCAACCCCTCAGTCTATCCCCATCGAAGTCTTTGCTGATCCAGCTTGCAAAAAATTCCTAGCTGGTAGCATGAATCATGTCTAGCATTGCACACTGCTACTGGGGAGCCCAAGTGGGAAGGGAGGGGAGGGAGCAATGTGCAACCTTCATTCTCCGAACACAGAAAGCGTACAGCAAGAAGGAGCTGGATTGGAGTTAGTAGGACCCAGGTGTGAATCTCTCCTCTGCTGTTTGTTATCTATGTGACCTTAAACACGGCCCTTGGGCTCTCTGGGCATCACTTTCTTCATCAGTAAAATGAGGGACTTGGGCTTTGTGACCTCCAAGGCCTCTTCTAACTCTAAATCTGTGATCCTGAGTTGTAGAACCCAGTCAGTCCCAAAGTTGGGGCTTCAAACTCTGAACTCTTGGGTTCTCTAAGCAATATAAAGAAAGTCCTAGGGTTTCGTTCTTTTTTACTGATCCTCCTCCCCAATGCCCTACCTTTTTCTCCAATCTTCCAACCTCAAATTCTTCTCTATCTCGACAGAAAAAGTGTTCAGAACCTCACACTCAACAAAGTCCTGGTTCCCCTTGCAATGAACCAGTCCTTTTCCATGTCCTATGGAGAAATCCTAGAGGCAGTGGAAAGAATGCTAGATTTGGAGTCATAAGACTTAGGTTCAAATCATAATCCCGACACTTAGCACATATGTCATAACCTCTATGGGCCTCACTTTTCTCGACTAAGAAGCAAGGGGGCTGGACAAGATAACCAACAAGGTCTCCTCAAGTTCTAAATTATGATTCTATGACTCCTTGTTCATATCTCAAGCCTCTTCTCTGTTGTATAAACATCTCTAACATCTTCATCCATTAACTTCCTGGAAATGAGGTCAGTAAATTTACAAATGATGCTGAGGTGGGTGTAATCGGTGGTTTGTACCCTGATAATAAGATCAAGATCCAATTAATAAAATGGAATTCACAGAGAACCCTTCAGGGGATGGTACTGGGGGAATGGAAAGAATAGTCCTGGATCAGATGGAGGGTGACTGGCTGTATAAATAATACAAAGATCTATGGGTCATAACGGAGCACATACTGAAACCAAGTCAACAATATAGTGTATTGCTGGTGTTTTTAAGTGAACACAATCCCATTCCAATAATCCAGTGGCTCTCTGAGCTTATCAATGCCCAACGTTACAGATGAAAGCGTGTGCATTCCTGTCCATCCTATGTAAGTGTGTGGCATCCTATAAATCTGACACAGGAGTCCACCTAATGTTTTGTGTTTTGTTTTGTTTACTTTTGCTGTTGTTGTTCTTTTGACATCGTAAGGATCCCAGTGGAACACACTAGCTGACCATCTATTATCCCTCATTGTCAGAGAGATACAGCTGGAAGGGACCTCAGGGGCCATATATTCCAGTGCCTTCATTTTACAGTCACTATATGACAAGCTCAACTGGCTTTTTTTTGGGTGATATATGTCTACACCTCTCTGATGACATCCTTTACTCTGCCTCTCCTGTACAGTTCTTCATTTATAACACAAGGCAGCCTTCTCACATCCACTCACTGGCTTCTCCATTGTCCTTTGGGTGATCCTCGATTTCAGTTCTTCAGACTGTGGTATTCCACACTTTGTAGACATACGACACTACCAGAAGAACCTCCCAATTAAATCAACATGCACTTTGATACTTGGTGACTTCAGTACAAGAGTGAGCATAGAACAACGGTGGGGGTAAAATGTTAGAAAATGTTTCAAGAATAAGAAGTAAGAAAAGGCAAAGGTTTGTTGAATGTGTAGAAGTCTCATGTCTATATAAATTAATACCTCAAGAAGATTTGAGAATTAATAGACATGGCAAACAATATAACAAAAAAATGAAATTATATTTTAACAGACAAGGAGCGACTCATTACTAATGTGGGAAATACTCATGAATCAGCTGTCTGTATCCAGTCAGACCACCAACTTGACAGAGAGAGCAAAGTTCAAAATTAATACAAAACTAGAAAGAATAAAAACAAGGGAGGAAAATAGGGCATTCAAGTGAAACAACTTTAACTACCATAGCTGTTTACTATTTTAAAAATCACAATCATTGGCTTCATAAATAGCATGTAATAACTGCGAGGTAAAATTCTATTCAGCACTTGCAGTCCTGTGTCTTGTAGGCATGGCTAAGTGAGTGTTAGTTTAGAAATACATTGTCTGAGCAAAGGGGCAAGGAACAGGTATTCCCACACGTTGTATTCATTCAGGGACATAACAGCCCCTAAAGGACAAAGATAGTATCTCTCACAGTTTATACAGTACCATGTAGAGTTAAGCCTCAATAAAGTATTTTAATGAGGACAGTTAAGATTGGTCTAGAATACTTCAAGCCAAAGATAATTGGGAGAAAATGTTCTTCCTTGTGGCTGAGGCCACGTATGAATTAAACAATATAAGCAGTTACACTGGCATTACTTACTACATGAAAACTCAGGTTGCTCCAAACTACAGAGAACTGCACTTGCCCAATAATTCAGGGCAGTAGGTAAGCTGACTGCTGGTGGAAGCAGGAATCTAAAGGGCCAACTGACTGTCCTGGCTTGCCCTCATCTGCCCTCTGGTGGACATGCTAGTGAGCAGGAAAATGACCTAAAACAGGCAGTCAACAATACTGAGAAGCTATTCAGTATAAGCTATGTGGAGGACGGGGAAAGGCACTGGAGAGAGGGTGGGGAAAAATAAAAGAAACCACACAAAGGGCCCTTTCCCTTTCATACAGCTGGGGAGAAATAGTACATGAGCACATAAAAAAGAACATTCACTGAGCAACAAAAGGCAAATGATTATAGAGTTTTGCCTTACTTGATTCGGAGTGAGAGGGGGAGAAATCTGATTTAAAAGTCTGAATTATAAAATGTTTTTCAAAAATATATTATTTTGAGTAATAACACCTTACTGTAACTAGCTCTTTTGGGGGGGGGGGGGAGAGGCTATGCAATGAGGTTAAGTGATTTGCCCAGAGTCACACAGCTAGTGTCAAGTGTCTGAGGCTGGATTTGAACTCAGGTCTTCCTGACTCCAAGTACATGGCTCTATCCCCCCGTGCCACCTAGCTACCCCTGTAACCAGCTCTTTACAGCTACTTCACAAAAAGACTTTCATAAAAGTATTTTGCTGGCACTTTCCTACCCCGTAGGAATGAAGTACCATGAAGTAGGCAAGAAAAGGATTTCCCCCATTTTACAGATAAGGAAATAGCCCAGAAAGTTTAGGTGACTGACCCTGTGTCATTCAGCTAATAAGTAGTGGGGTGCTAGGATTCCAATCTCATGCTGTGTAGGTCCTGACATGTGTATCCAACGAGACATAGCAGATAAAAAAATCTAACTTGGTCTCAGGCTACAATAAGAGAGGTCCAGTGGTCAGAATGAGGAAGGCAGAAATATCACGATATTGTGCTCCAGTGAGGCTACTCCAGGAATACTGTGTTCACATCTGGGCATGACATTTTAGGAAGGACACTGAAAACTAGTGTTATCTAGAGTCACGTGACATGATAGTGAGGTAACTTGAAGCCATTCTATACTAGTATCAGTAAGAAAATAAGGCTATTTAGCCTGGGGAAGACAAAATTTATAGAGAAGGATGCATTGTAGAAGTGAATACAATTATTTGGCCCCACAGAACAAAACTGGGAGCAAACATGGGAAGTGCAGAGATGTAAATTTCAGCTGGATGTAAGAAGAGAATCCTCATCACAGGAAGCCTTCTAGTGAAGGCTATCTAGATGGCCCCTTTTTGGTGGGTTCCAGTAGAAGTTATGCCTCTGAAGTTCCTCCTTACTCAAAGACTCTGTAATTATGTCTCCTTACTCCTAGGCCTCTGCTTTTCCCACATCACACTGCTTTAATTCATATTTAGGGGCAGCTAATTGGGGAAGTGGATAGAACCATGTACTTGGGAGTCAGGAAGACCTAAGTTCAAATACAGTCTCAGTCACTTTCTAGCTGTGTAACCTTAAGCAGGTCACTCAGCTTGTTTACCTCAGTTTCCCCAACAGTAAAATGGTGACGATTATAGCACCTACCTCTCAGAGTTGTAAGGAATAAGATATTTATAAAGAAAGCACTTAGCAGAGTGCCTGGCACATAGTGCTATCAGATTATTGTGCGCATTCCATAGAATACAAAGTTCATACCATATAATCTACAAAGCTAGGTTAAGCCATAAATGGGTACAAGTAAACTGATCCCAATTAAAAAATTATAGGGAGGTGGGAGATAAAAGCTGTCATTCAAGTATTTGAAAAGTTGTCTTGTGGAATAAGTAGATTGCACTTACACTGTTTAGCTCTACAAGGCAGAATTAGGAAGCAATGAGCAGCAGTTATAGAGGGGCAAATGTAGGCTTTGATGTCCAAGAAGAGAAAAAAAACTTGCTAAAAATTAGAGCTGTTCAAAAGTGGAATAGGCTGCATCAACATGTGTTGGGTTCTGTCTTCAAGCATAGGCTGCACTGGCCTGGTAGGCAACGGTGGGGATTCCTTTTATTTATAGGTTGGACTAAATGGCCCATAGGCTCCCTTCCAAATCTCCAGTTCTATGATTCTATAAATATACATCCCATCCTAATGTGACATAAACATGTGGCAGAGGAACAGAGATCACCAAAAGCGAGGCAGGGTCCCTGGTATGTAGCCCTACCTACCTACAAGTAGGCTGTAGAGTGGGGGTGGGGACCTGAAAGCTGCCCTCTGGTGCAGAGGAAGGACTCTGCTAGCTCAGCACAACAAAGGGACTTTGCCTCTCCACACCTCCCGCTTGGGGTGGGCCCCCCAGACGAGGCAGTTCTCGGCCTTGGACTCAACCCTAGTTACATATCAACCCGGGGGAGGAGAGGAGCAGGGGTACCTGGTCAGGGGGTGGGAGGATGGGGGGCGGAGGGCGAGTACGACCTTGGACCCTGCATGCATCCCTGCGGGGGGGGGGGGGGGGGGGGGGGAATACGGTTTAGAGATCTACAATTAGAGATCCTAGGGAGGTGTTGGGAGAAAAGATCCACAAACACCCGGGGAGAGGGTGGGTCAACAGCGAAAGGCCAAGGTCAAGTGCGTTCCAAAGAGCCGGGGTGGTGGGGGGAGGAGCGGAGCGGACACCTTTAGGGCGGGTCTGCCTGGGCCCCAGGAGACAGATTTAGGGGCGCCTGTCCTGGGAGTGCAGTGTGGGGCAGTGGGTCAAAAGCAGCCACGGATCATCAGAGGAACAAGCCCAGCTACGGCAGTGTTTCTTCCTCCACCCCCACCCCCCGGGCGGGTCTGGGCCAGTGGCCGGGCTTCCGCCTAGGAGGCGGTCTCGATGGGCTCTAATTCCTCCCTGCAGACACCGGGCACACACAGGGCAGTTTCCCCACGAGCACCGATCGCAAGCTACTAAGGCTACAAAGGCTCCTGGGCCCCGGCTCCTGGGCCCCCAGCAGAGGGCGGGTAGGGCAACGTGAGGGAAAGGAGGCTCTGGGACTGTCTGAAAAGTGTGGATCCCGGGGAACTTGCAACTTTAGGGACTGACTTCAAATGATGCCGCTGCTCCTCGCCGAAAGCCAACCCCAAGGCGCCTAACTAGCAAATCCACGACTAGTTATTAGCATATCCCGCCTCTTCCTTTCTCCCCCAATCAGCACCACCCCGGAAGAATCCACGGCAGCGCCCACCCCCTGGGTTCCCTACCTATCCCTACCCTCAGAAACAAATGTCAACAATATCCCTCTTCTTCCCCTCCACCCTCGCCCCGCCCTTCCACCAGCGCTTCGAACACTCGGGCACACGCGCTCCTCCCGAACAACTGCTTTCCCCACCTTCACCCCTCCACAACTCACTTAGTCCCGCCTACTTGTCAATCACTCGGACCCGCCATCCAGTGATCGGACTCAAGTGGGCGGGGCCAGGTGGCCGATCGTGTGACGCAAGCGGGAGGCGAGCCCGGGAATCGGAGGGGTGCGTGACGAAGCCGCGCAAAGCTGTTAGAGCCGTTAGGAGAAACGCTGTGGATAAATATAAACCAGGCCTCACATGCCGCCTTCTCGTCGCTAGGTTTTATGTGCTGCCCTTGGTGAGTGCGGAGTCGCAGGCTAGTCATTAATCTCTCTCTTAGGTGGGAGGAACCCTAACACCCCCCCCCCCAACTCCGCGTACACACCCCGGACATACCACGTGGCCGTGAGTCGGGGAGGGGGAGAGGAGGGGGAGGGGAGGAGGAGGGTTGTTAAGCCGGATTCTAATTTCA